AAAACCCCGCAACTTCGCTGTGGATGGAAGTCTATTTTTAGAATTCCTGGTTTTCTCTTGGCGTCACCCATATATAGTTAAGTGAAAAGATTGCTATCGGATCCGGTGATCAGGATAGAAGAGGGTAAAAACGGACACGTATTATTCGCGTGATCAGGCTAAAGGTTCCCAAAAGGGAAAATTTTCTCAATACGTACGTACGTACGTAGGTAAAGTTATGTAGGTGATATGCTTGATTACGATATAGATTATTAAATTATTCACTAAGTTTCAAATATTGTTTTTTCGGAGATAAAGCTAATCTAAATACATTACGGCTGATTTAGATTTTAATCTAAACAGTAGAACTAATTGAACGTTGATAAATAATATTCATAACCTAAAACTTTTAATGATCATTGATTTATAAACAAAATTTCCTAAAAAGATGATCAATGAGTTATTCGTGCGTTAGGATTAAACAAAACTGCATAAAGATGTCACTGTATAACGGTAAATTCTGTTAATACTAGCATTATGTCGTACTTGTTTCAGTTCCTGAGAAAAATTGTCAAAACTCGATTAGATCAGATTAGATTTATAATCAAATCTTAACGTTAATACAAAACACGTTTCGGTTTCATCCAAACATATTTTAAGTCACGAGCCAAAATATTATACACCAGTCGTAATAATATTGACACCGTAGATAAGAAAGTACATTTTAGTTGACCAGATTAGATTTATCGTTATTGCAAGAGAGTGAATAAAGAAAAACGTATATGAGTGATTTGTGTTACAGAAATAAATTGTCACAAGACACTGAACTGTAACAATCACTTCATTATTAATATCCACATGATCCCATTTCATTATTATAGTATAACCAAGTACAGTAAAATAATTATACGTATTTAAGTAAAAATAAATGCTCGGAAATAGCACATGCACGGGTACATATCTAAGTAAATATATTTGTCGTACTAAATATTTGACATTCATACACTGAATAAATAAACAAAAATAATGACTTGTGAGAAAATTGCACACATAGTTACGTACTGCTTAGATCTTACATCTTTTTTTTTTTTTATAAATATCGATATCAATCCTCAGTTCGTGAAATCAAACTTTTTCTTGTACCTTTTGATTCAACAATAATTACCAATAATTACCCTTTGATTCAACAATAATTAATCCTTTCGATTCAACAATAATTTTTAACAGGTAATTATTTGTATATCTACTTTCTTTAATTACATTCGCGGACAAATATTCCAAATTCTTGTTTCCGTAGTTCATAGTTTAACATAAAAAATAAAAAAAAAATAAAATAAAAAAATAAAAATAAAAAAAATGGATCAAGTTATTTCGAAGAACCTTAAAAAGGGGGTTAAAGACGCTGGGAAATTGTTAAGAAAGTTCAAAGCTGCGGTAAGACAGCCGTCTAAAATGATATGTAAAGAATAATGAAGAACTGATATTCGTGTTTCTTAAAAATTATCTACGTCAATACTATTATACCTTATACTTATTACTCATTCACATTCTTAACTATGTGCAGGTTTACGTTTTGACAATTTTTCCAAATTATAAACGAAAAATAGCTGAAGAAAAGATGACTAGTAAATAAGTTTATTTTGCGTGATTTCTTGTTGTCAAGTATATCATATATCGATATATCTAATCCTGTTTTAATAATAGCCGCCGTTGTTATGAGCCCAAGTTCATTCGCTGCTGCAAACACTGAGCCTATAGTCAATCAATTCGTTTTCAATCCGAATTATGAACATTTGTCTGCAATAACATCAAATTTCGAATTATTGAATTTAGTAAACGAAAACGAACACATACATCATGCAAATTTCAACACTGCGAGATTTCACCGAGTCGAAGATGACTTGTTCTCGTCATCAAATTCCGATGAGATCACCTGCCCGCAATGCTTTACTCCACAATCTGTTTTTTGTCTAGTTGAGGGTGCAAACCAAGAACAATCAAAGAAATTTTATATTTGCATGTCACATGGTAATAAAGGATGTGGGTGGCAAGGTGACGAAAAACCGATTGAATATGATACTAAACAACGCATAAAGGAAAAATGTGGGTTTATACCATTGCGATTAAATTAGCCATTAAATTATCAATTTAATTAGATGGTTTTATGTTAAATATGCTTCCATAACAGTATATATAATAGTATATAGGACTTTTTCGTTTAATTTTTTTTTACATAATTTATGTTTACACATTTATATTTATATATCTATATCGATATATATATATAATAAAATATATATATGTATATACATATTTATATATATTTATATATTTGGTATATGTTTATATATTATTAAATGTAATATAAAAAAAAAATGTTAAAACTAAATTTTTCATGTCATCTTAGAAATGAATCAATCTTGTCATCTTAGAAATGAATCAATCTTGTCATCTTAGAAATGAGTCAATCTTGTCATTAGTCAAACTACTACTTACATTCATATGATATCTTTGATGTCATTATGTAATTTAAAAATAGTTATCCTAGTTATACTGAGTAATATAAAGAAAGTTTGATAAATTTCGATGTCACATGCTAAAAAAGAAATTTGCCAAAAAAATGCTTGTCATAAAACGTATGTATGTGCGTACGAAAATATGTAACAGATTCCTACAAAAATTAATGTTGCAAAACTCTAATTAAGGATGAGAAAAAAAACAGGTTCAACCATTTTTTCTCCGATTTAAAACAGGAGTTTATTAAAGTCCGGATAGTTAAATTTGGTTTTAAATATGTTAAGAACATAATCATCACCTGTTTTTAATTACATAATAAAAATCATTTTCCACCCCCAACTCTAATAAAGCACACTAGACAACTAAAATTTATCTTTATTTAAACATTTAAAGCGTACGTACGTATTCATAGCTATCAATTCTAAACTAGGGGTCATTGATTCTGTCAAATATAGTGTGCATAATATTTCCGTATTTTCCCACCCTTGGGTTCACACGCACCGATCGCGATCGTCTAAATTTTTTTTACAAAATAAAATGCTTTTATCTTTATTTGGTTTGTACGCAGTCAATCAATATGTTACACAAATTGGGGTGAAAGTCACTCGACATTTTGTTGTATCATATGATACGAACTTTATTGTGAAGCGAAAGTTCTACAGATATTACTTAGGGACAGTGCAAATTCATGTGATTGGTTAATTAGCAGTTTGCAAGGACAGTGAATACTTTCATTCCATCTTATTCCGATATTATTATTAATAGGTATACTTGGTGATTACTTCCATTAACATATAAATTATCTCAAAGTGCGGTTTGATTGGTCAATTACCACATGATTATAATGATTAGTGACGTTATCGTTATTATCGTTATTATTAGTATATAAGAATTATCCGGCAAACTCTTATGATCATGAATTGCCATCTGTCTTGTTATTTTTTTCATGTGTTACTATGTAATCATGTTTATTCAAATTAAAACTCAGTCGATGACGCCCTACCAATCGTGATCATAAATTGTCGGATAACACCAATATGGAGCGATAATTTGGCGGTATGTGTTCATTTGCCCCGACATATAATTCATAACACCCATTATATATGTTAATTATCTGGTTTAGGGTAAGTATTGTTACACCCGAAACTACCTCTTATAAGTTCAGTATAATGGTTTTACTTTAACGTTAGACATTGATAACGAATACCGTTATAGAGTTTATTGCAGTTACGCTTTAAGAGGATTATGGTGATTTGCAGTTACAAAAAAGGCAAACAGCTAATGTATATGAAGATACAAGTAGTTATATAACTAGTTTATAATTTACAGTATTTAATAAGATACTCAAGTTATTTATGTATGAAGACATTATAACTGATCTACTATTTTATTTAAGTTATGAAGATTATTATATTTAAATTTGACAAGGAAAGCTGGTGATGCTTTATTAGATATATTTATAAGTATATATATAATTTTTAAACTATATTACAATCTATAACTAGGTTATATTAACTTAATGTAATGATTTAACATTTATCTAGTTGCTTTAATAAATGTTTAAATATATTTTTGTTGTATCACTAATATGTTATAGCTGAAATCAACACTTGTGGTTAGAGTAATCTCACTCTGAAGGGATATTGCTATTAAATCACTATGATTGTAGAAGAGGATTAGACCTATATTTGATATTACTTTATAAATATAATTTTGTTATATTTTATGAATTTCACTTTTTTTGTTATAATATACTTCAAAGGTTTAAAGAAAAAAAATTTATAAAATTGGTTATAAAATAAACTAAATTTGAAATATATCAAATATCTTGTTTGAATTCTATAGATCTAATTAATTAAATTAATCTAAAATATTACTTAGTAAATGTCATGTGTTTACAAAGTAAAATTTGCTAAAAAAAGTATTATTACTTAATAATTTTATAATTAAAAATTAGAGGTTTTATTTTATTATTTGTATTATTTTAATATAAGATTTAATAAAAAAAAGTTATTAACCTTTCTTATAATTCAAAATTTTCAATTCAGATCTTGCTTATATGTGATTTGCATTATATTATTATATTAAAATTCTCTGATTAACTAGCAAAACATTAATTAATTTTATTTAACAAATAGAGAAATCAAGTTTAAAAATTTTAAAAAACAACCCAATTTTTTAAAAAGCATTAAGTAAACAAATTTGCTCACTAGACAGTTTAAGAAATAGCTTTATATCTTTAAATATTACTAAAAATAATTAATATTAGGAAGTTTTGAAAAATATTAAAAGGCATTAACTAATATTAATTGTTATTTAACTCTACAAACAGTAAAACAACAAACTTTATACAAGCTAACAGCATTGAAAAACAATTTTATAATGCATTAAACAATGTATTTTATTAACTAATACTATTTAAAAATATGTATTATTGTGATAAGCAACTTATTTTTTTTTTTACTTCAGCAATCCTATTTTTATTTTATAAATTAGTAGTAAAGTATAGTAAGAATTCAGTTAGCTAAATCTACCATCTAACTATTCATTACTATATACCTGTTTAAATAAAAATTTTCTTAATCTATCTTATTATCACAATAAAATTACAGTTACCTGCAATTCTATGCTAGAGTATGATCTAGAAACAACCTGCCTCAATAAACAATTTGTCTTCTTCTGGAATCTTCAACTTTCTGAGGATATAAGTCCTAAATATCAATATATAGTTTTTACTGACCTTGTTAAGATCATTATCTACAATAAAGTGTAATCAATCTGATGACATTTTCTTGTAGAAAAGTAAAAAACAAAAAAAAAAGATATAAGAAATATGAGAATAGGGTAAGATATAAACAAACGTATAAAGAAAATAACTAAATTATAAAAGAATTTAAAAGTTATCCTAAAATCTATAAGAACTTATCTTCAGATATAAAATCTGCTAACTAGATTAAAATAGTGATAAAGAAAGATAAATAATAAATAAAATATACTTTTCTTAATATAGTTAATATAGTTATATTTCATAGTTTTACTTCTTTACATATCAGTATTAAAAAAAATCAGTATTGCAAAAAAAAGATTATCAGTTCTGAAATTTTATAATATATAAACTAGTTAGATTTGATCTAAATAGTGCACTGCCAGTTCGGAACTAAAATAGTCTATTTTAACTAATTTAACATTTCTATTTACCTACCTATTCTATAGAACATCTAATAGCAATATTAAATTGTAAAAACAATTAAGTGATTTAATTAACAATATGTTAGATAGTAGATTGGTTCAAGTAATATAATGAGCATTTAAAAAAAGTAAATATTAATAATAATTTTTTTCTTTAATAATAAAAATCTATACTAACATCAAGTTCCTGCCAATTATCATTAGTAGGATAAGTATTTACAAGTAATGGATTTGATACAACTAAAATATTAGTAAGATCACGAATTTTGTGTAATTTCTCTATCATTATATAGATCAAATTTTAGCGGATATTAATATCTATTTCAGATAATAGAAAAGAACATTGTTTCATTTCAAATATTTTTTTTAATTCTTGAAAAAGAACTTAAGATGAATGTATAGTTGATATAAATTCTTTAATTTTTTTTAATTAAAGGTCTGGCAACATCAAGACCATTTTTTATTATTAGATTTAAGACATGTGCAGCACATTTAATATGATGAAATAATTCATTTTTATGATTATTTAAAAGTAAGTATGCAAGTTCATGTCCAAACATATCTATATTTGATGTATTATCTGTAGTTACTAATAT